AAGTTGAGTAAAAAGAAAAAAGAGTGTGTGTTTTAATAATTTTATATTTAAAAACCGGACTTAAAAACCCCATTGATGATGCTCTTATCGCTTCTTAATTTATTACTACTAGCTTTTATCATCTCTTCTACCAAAATATATAATTATCGATCGGTCGTATCTCAATATTAAAACGTTTGTTGTTTTTAAATTAAGATTTCGAGTAAAACGTTACATTTAAACTATATTAGTATTTTGTGGACTTTTTTGTCACGCACTTCTTTTTTTCTTTTTTTTAAACGACGTAGAAACAGAGCAGATATGCCCAAAAACAGAGTCAAAGCAGAGACTTGAAAATAAAAGGATCAAAACAAATCTCAAAAACCATCGAAGATGGATAAAGAGAGATTATAGTCTTGCATCCCGTAAAAGCTGATCGTGTAACCAAGCCGGACCTCCCATGGCTAGATAAGAATTGAAACGTCAGTCACGTGTAACACTTGATGAAATGGCCCGAGCCATCGAGTTAGCTCCAACTGATTCAAGCTCAAAACACACAAGAGGCAAAACATCCGAGAGACGTAAGTCCCATAGACTTTGTAAAACCCATATCACACACCTTAATTCTGACACAATGCGGTTTGGAGAGCAAGTGAAAGCTTCCCTAGCATGAAACAAGACCTCGCCACTGTGATTTCTTAGCATTTCGCCAATGTGAGTTTAGATTGCATTTTATTGATCCTTGTAAGGGGGGATACCATCGACTTGTTCGATCATTCCACAGACACGCATCTTCAAAAAGCTCTTTGAGTCACTCGTTCTAAAGGTTCCTGTAACTGAGCATATAATAGCGAGTTTCGATTCTTCCAAACCTGCCACATGATCCAAGGAATCACTGACTTGATTCCTCCTGCAATCGTTGAACCGTCCATCAAATCCATAATACATGTGAGATTATCTTCAAGAGACGACGAGAAACCATTGCTTGGACTTGGTACTTTAGCAAATGACCAGATTTGTTGAGCTACATCGCAACCAAATAGAACATGATTAATCGTTTCAGGTTGAATTTGACACAACTTGCAAGTGATATCAACATTAACAGCCCTTGTCTGCAATCTGTCAGAGACCGCCAAGGCCCCAGAGCAAACACGCCAAAAGAACATTCGGATCTTTGGTTGAGTATGAAGTTTCCAAATCCTTTTCTTTATTGCAATTCTTCGGATTTCCAGGGGGCTCTTTAAAGGATGAGGAATATGGATGGTTCGAAACAAACCAGTAACCACTCTTAACCGAGTAAGACCCATGATCATTATATGCCCAAATGAACTTGTCATTGACCCCTCCAAATTGCAACCCTTCAATCCTTCCGGAGGAAATAAATTATGTAACACACTAATTAGTTCATAATCCAATAATTTATATACTAATATTCTATTGCATGAAATAGTTTCTGTTAAATATATGGTTT